GGACAAGGGATAAGAGCAAAAGGACAGGAAGATCACACTGGCCAAAAACTGTTTGCAGACTTGAATGTGAACACTGTTGTTGAGGTTACTATTTATCTCATGCCAGCCAAGTTGGCACGCACATCTGGCGCTGGGTACTTAGTGCAATTATTTATGATTTCCTCCAAGATTTAAAAGCTCTTCGCCCGGCCTTGTAATGCAGTAACTGATTGCACTGCTAATGTAATTAAGGGGAGATTATGATGTCCACGTGGCACACCAGATGGTGGCATTCACAGCAATGGGGGAAGGCACAACTGGCACACCACTGCACAAGGGCAGTGAGGCGCAGTCAGTCGGAGCAGTCCAGACTCCCCACCAGACGGAGGAAAGTATATGTGTGCGTGAGAGTGTGTGTGTGGGAGGGCGCTGTACGCGTGGATGCACGTACGGGGTATGTGTGTACGTTTGATGAAAACTTGAGCGGGGAAAGTGTAAGCTGATAGAGATGAGTAAATGTAAAATATTACCAGAGGAAATTACATGCGGTACTCAAGACTCTAAGTGCGTGAAATTCATGAACAAGCTCAAAAAAGTGCAGCACAAATTACATTCAAAAAATAACTGTGTCATTTTTTTTATAAAGTTGCTTTTAATGTATAAGCATTGCATGAAATCGCATCAGTATTTATTTTTTTAATATGATTTATTTTCTGGTACAAATGTGCTGAATTAGTAAATGAATCTGGCAGTCCATACATTTTTCGACTTGGTGCTTTAATCAAGAAAACAGATGGCATAAATGAAAAATTAAATCACATTTGGAAAAGCCATCATGTTTCAGGAGATTTTTCCAGCCAGGGCGACAAAGAGACTCGACCAAGCTGACCTTTAATTAGAAAGAAGCATGATATTATGGAGCCCTGCAAGGCTGTATCCTATGGGGCACTAAGGGTAGGCTTCTTAAAGCGTGTTATTATAAACCATTCAGGAGACACAGGGTTTTTTTTCCCGGTGTAGACAGAAAAGTGAGGAGGAGGGGGTTGAGGGTTATGTATGAAACAAGACCTGCAGATTTCCACGCAGCCTATAATGGGTTTGTGCGGGTGACATTAGGGTGCAGTAGATTTCCCAGGTTGAGATAGGGATATTATTACTCTCGGGATGGCATTGCAGAAATCTCCATCTTCAGTGCCTAGACTAGTGTCAGCAAATTCTGAAACTATAATGAATCGCCTCTATAGATGAAAAAGAAAGCCTTTGCTATTTCTTTTTTTATTATCATTTAAGCGTAAAGACATTCACAAAGGTGTAATTTTGGTTCAAGGACTTGTCGGTCTCCTGCTAATTACTACTCACGCGTACATAAAGACCAAGAACGCATGTATCATAAACAGATGCTGTATTTATTGGGTCAACATCAACTGACTTGCATCATAAAGTATATGAAACAAAAGGTGAATAAAGAAATCACAGCCTTAATGAACCTTTTCGAGACACCAGCTGTAACGCTGAGCCTGTCACACTGGCTGCTCCCCTACAGAAATCTGCAACAGCTATCATTCATCCCACCCCACAATCCTCAGCATGCAAGGTGCCGCACATTAAAACACTGTAAAAGCTGATGGTTTTCACAGTTAGCATGTGTTGCTGATAACTCCAGACTCTCAATGAGTGTTTCATCACCTACTCCATAATTAGACCATTACTGTAGCAGGTGCACCTTTTCTCAGCCAGAGCATGTGTGCATGTGTGTGTGTGTGTGTGTGTTTATCTTTCCTCCTTTCAAATGAGAGTCAATTCACTTACCCTGAGCGCTGCCGAAAACTCAACGTCAAGTGAGCATGTCCGTTTCAGCGTGTCTTCAACACCTTGATGTGATAACATATGTTGGTAAGATTATGTGCATGTGAGGTGAATAGTTGTGATGATGTGTGGTGATGAATGACAAAGTGAGATCGGTAGAAAAGAACATCTATTTTTAGGTTTTTGCGAGAAAATTTGCCTCTGCCAGATGAATGAGAAAAAAAAACAACAAAAAAAGAGAAAAACTTCCTATCATAAGCAGCCACGAGCTGGTATTTTCAGCAGGAGATTACAGAGAGATTTCCATTTCCCTAATTGATATTCATATAGTATAGTATATTATATTTATTTAGTGTTTCATATATTAATAACTGTCTTTACCACCCCCTGGGAAAATCTACTGATGATTAATACCCTCAACGATACAGCTCCAGTGATTTTTAATACACACAAATCTATTCCAGAACCAAGATGTCAAAGTGGATTTAATTTCTTGCCATGTTTGAAAACGTTTTAGACATGTATAATTCGTGAAAACGGGAGAGACAAAGCCATGATGTGTAATATGCCAAATCTGAATGAATGAAAACATAGTGTGACTATGGCTGTCACCAGCTTATGCAACAGAGGAATCTCACATCAAGTTCTGCTCTATAATTCAGTATTTTCTGCGATTAAGACTAAGTTTTACTTTTCAATTTTTTATGGATCATCAATGAATAAAAAGCTCATTTAATATTAACATTAATGTGAAAAAATAAGAAGGCCTGTGAGTCAGTACATTCATCTGAATCTGTGTGGCCCTGGTGAAGACACCCCACTGACATATGGCACAGTGTCACATAACTGAGCAACAAGTCTTTGATTCAAATTAATTAGGATAATAGATCCACAATAAAATGATTTATTTGATTAGTATGGTGAGGGTAGAAATAATAAACCCTATGATGAGGAAGCATCTGTTGCCTGCTGGTGTTTTGGTGAATGTACAAAGAGGCTTTCAAGTTCTGCACACAGGGAGTTGTACATTCTACTGTATTTGCTAAGCTAGAACATCACTCTTCGTCTTACTTTTATCTAATTACAATAATGACATGTGATAACTATTAGAGAAAAAATCGACTGTCAGGAGGTCTGACCTGTGGATGGATCCATGTAATGATAGCCGTTTAGTGAGGCACAACCTTAATTCAGTTAGAATGAACTAAATTGGATATGTAAGTTATTGCAAAGAAATAAACCAAACAAGTCAACGTGGCATTACTTTATCCAGCATGTATGTTCTGCACTTGAACTAAAACGACACGTTGGCCCTTCATTTGACTTTCTGTTTTATATGGGATGTTCTCAGTCAAAACGTTAAACGTCGACTATCAAGTTTTAATTAATCAATCTCAATGACTTAGAAACAAAATAAGAGTTTTATAATCTCGTGGTAAACATAAAGTGAACTTTTTGGAAGGAAAAAACAACAACGGTTAAAAACTTGAAATTAAATACTGTTAGAATTAACAGATATACTGTAAATACCACAAACGTTGTTGTACCTTACTTTGTGTTTCTGTCATTCTAGTAAAAGCATTCATATAAAAGTTCCCCAAAATATATAAATACAAAAAGAAATATACAAAAAATAATAATAATAATAATAAATAATTTTGGTTAACAACTTTTGACTCGCGACACCCGGAAGTGTTTCTTTCCTAAGGGGGTAAAGTCCACTGTGGAGCTGATAGGTTAACGGCTACTTAGCGGGACGAAACCTGTGCAGGTAAGCTTTTATTTATTTATTTTTTAAAGCTGATTACTTAGTAAATCATGGACTGAACTGACGGGTCTCCAACATTACATCTATATGGCTACCAGTGGATTAACTTTTTTAATAAACAAAATGTCCTCATGTTGTATGTGTCTGTTAGCCACTGATGGATTCAGAGTACTTGTAAAGGAGACAGTATAATAAACATTATGTAAGTCGTGTATATAAATTTACGAATAATCGGTAAAGACGCGAATAACGAATTAAGTGCGTAAAAAGTTTCACAGCAGCCCGAATTTGTATTGTTATAAACTCTGCAAATCATTTAAATGTAACGTTTTTTGTTACATTTTACGCTTCAAGTTTAAAATAAGCTGCAATTAGGGTCTAAACTTCGAGATAAAGTCTGTATGTTACTATAAGCCACAAAGTCATCTTGGTTCCACATTTATGTTGTCAAACTGGTATTGGTTCTTCAACAAATGTTTCAATATTATACCCAGAAATTGCTGGAAAGACAAACGTCTAACTAAATTCTCTATTAAACTACTCTTAATCATCCAATTTACTGATCTGAGTCCCATTTAGAAGTTTCAGATGGGCTTGGATGCTTTCTTTTAATCTCTGAGCTTCAACATTGCGCTGAAAAACAAAATAGCTTAACTTGGGGAAAAAATACATTTTGGAAAGTTATCTTTCATTTTATTAGCCAATTTGGCATCCCGTTTCATTTGAATGAGTAGTACTGCCCAACATTTGTTAAAGAGACAGCTGTTTCTGGAGTAAATCCCCTAATTTGATCAACTTAATTGCAATAGATTTTGTAAATATCAAGATTGAACGCAGCAACTTTGTCAGTTGGTACAAGAATGCTTTAAACCTAATCTAATTGAATTGCATAAGGGAACCTTTGCAAAGCCACTTACCCAGTAAAAGGCTTGCGTGCCCATTAGGCAAAAATACCCTTAGACAGGAATAGATAGCAATTGATTGGGACTTCCTTGAAAATATGTGATCACTCCCCCTAATTTGTGATTTGGTGAAGTCATTGGGTGCTCTCCAAATGGTGTTTAGTCACTGGTCTCACTTGTCATTTGATCCTACATTAGGCAGCCTCTTTTTCTTAGACGCTAATAAGCCTCATCAAGAAGTCAATAATGAAGCCATTTTGCTAAGAAAAACCCTGTCCCTTCTCTAGATAAAGACTGTGAATGATGCAATCCTCATTTAGACTTAGTCATTTTATTGAAATTTTCTTTTTTAAGATTTCAAATATGTATTTGTTGATGTTGTTTTTCAAAGGATTTAAAAAAAAACATATGAAGGCATTGTCTTGGATTTATGTGAGCAAAACTCAAATTGCAGGAGTAGCAGGAACTAGTTGATCATGTAAGTATTTTCCTATGAAATGCCAAAGTGTCCTGAGGCCTGTGTGCTTGTTTAACAGATGTGAAACATGTCACATGAGAGCGGCGTGCTGTCCACAGACCCCATTTCTGCAGTTGGAGTCATCACTTCGCTCACCAAGGCCCCAGAAGGCTATTATGTTGTGAGTTGAGTTGCCCTAAGCCGTGAGGATTCACATTATCACTGATCCTTAACAGTGCAAATGTGAATTCAGCTTCAACCGAATACATTTTTGTTTGCTGATTTTAGGCCAACCTCTGGTTGTTTTAAAGATTTTCTGTCCGTTTGTTTTTGCAGGTAAATGTTGCCTAGAGTTAGGCTTATGAAATAATATTCGGGATACAGTGAGGTTTTCAGTGAGGTACAGAAACAGTTAAAGTTGTGTAAAGTCAGAATTGAATAAAATCAGATTGATCAAATTTTAAATTGGTCGAATACATACAGGGCCAATAAAAAAACAATAGAAGGAAATGGTTCCTTTTGCGTCTTTAGAAATGTACAAAGGCATCAGCTGTGAAATTAGCCCACAAATGGTTGTCAGCAGGTCAGTTTGTTAGTGTCTCCACTCCTTTTTGTGTGTTTCATGTTAGATTTGGTGGTCATTTCTAAATGAGCCGGCTGCTTTTGCTGCTCATGAATCAGCTCTGGCCAGTCATCCCCATCACCGTTTGTGTTGCAATTATTGGCTAATTTTCCTGTTTTAGTTAGTCTGCTTAATATGTTTTTATTTCCCTGGAAAAATCAAATGTAGAAAGAGATCCAAGGTCCAATCTCAGATCTCATACATTGTTTTATTTTTGTTCTTTGTCTTTGGTTGTACATTTAATTGTTACAACAGCTTGTGCGATATAATGCACAGTCAAGAAATTGGCAGCCTTTCATGGACTCCTTTCTATTTTCTTTTCATAGAACTGTTGCATGACTTATTCATAAAGTTTGCTTTGATGGTTTGGAAGGCCCTGTGTACTGGTTGCCACCAGTATTGTAGACACACCAGAGGCAGGGGTTTAATGATGTTTGGTTGAAGCCCATAAGATTTAACTTTGTCCCTGTGTATTCTTTATGCCCCAGTCTCACAACAACTTTACCACAAGCTGGAACGTGTCAGGATGTGAAATAGTTTGGCTTGTTAATGAGAACTTTTTATAGTTCTAAATGAGTTGGAGAGGGTAAAAACCAGAATAGAAAGTGTAACTTAAAACAAAGCACAACACAAGCTCAAGGGCAAAACTCTCTTCCGTTTTTCCTCCCTTCCTACTCAGACTCCTTCTGTTATCACCTCACCCTCCCTCTTCTCTCAGTTCTTATCTCTTCCTGCTCCACCCTACACATCCAGGTTGTTCAGATCTCCGGCAGATGACGGTGGGCGGAATCAAAATGGAGCTGCTGGCGTGAAAATTGCAAACACACAACCACGATAGTGACAAATAGAAAGAAGACTTCCCCCTCTCATCCACTCCACTAAGAAATATCATATATGAGGATAGAACCATCAACACTTCACCAAATGAGAGATACCAACTTCAGAGTTAGCGCTATGAAAAAATGCCTTAAGTATATGTATCTGAGCTTCGTTGCGTGCTCGTTGTTTTGTTGTAACCTACCACCACATTTTACAGCGTCTGTCTCATGAGTGTTAACAGAGAGTGGGACAGCTCATTTATTTGCTTTTAATTTAGTTTACAACACCAGACGCTGTGCCGCGCCTCTTTTTATCCGTCTCAGTGGCTGAAGACCTGAAAGGGAACCGTCGGGTATCTTCTCTTAGTAGGTCCTTCAGTTTTGTTGGTTACAGCCAAGAGTTTGTAGGAGAGATGAAGTAAGGATGCACGAAAGAGAGTTCTGCAAACACAAAACCTTCTTTGTGATTTTTAAGAGAAATAAGGTATGCATGCGGTTTAAAGCTGCAAACATGAATACAGGTACACCTGGTAAACATTTTAATTAGAGTCTGTGTGGCTGTGACTTATTTGTGCTTTGCATGGAAAGCCAAACTTCCATTGTCCCATCCTAAAGAACAGAAAAAAACAACACTTTGGGTCTGTGTACAAATGCACCATATAAGAGGAGAAGATTCAGATATTAAGCTGTATTGATTTTTCACCCCCTCTCGTACTGAAAGGTATTTTCAAGTTCCCCCCTAATGCTGACAGCTCACCATAGTTACCGCTCAGTTTATATAGCAGATCAAAGGGAAGATTACCTCTTTTGCTCTCTGATACGGCGCCCTCGCATCCCTGAACCCGAGCAGGTTGTTCCGAAGCACGAGAGCACAGACCAAGATCAAACGCTTTTCCACTGGGATCAGGGGCTTTCCTGAAGCACCGGCTTCACCCAACATCAAACGCTCCCAGCAGACTTTTGCAAACTCATGCTCAGTGCAGGAGTTAAAATGGGGGCGTTTCTCCTCAGTTTCAGCTGAACTGCCACCTGGCTCAAGCACCCAGTCCTGCACACCCCAATGGACAGCAATGAGATTTATGTGAATCCACAATCCCAACAAGAAGCTTTGATATTCCAAAAGTTTTTTTCAAACTTTAATTCCGCTTTAATTCTTTTTAACCCAACATATTGTCAGAAGTCACTCTTTTTCACTATATTCAGTTGAAAGATGAGATATGAAACATTTCATCTTTCCAGCTTTGTTCTCCTTTGAAGGGACTGTTTGCTTCTCTCTCCTTGCTCCGTCTCTTCTGTACCTGCTTGAAATCTCCAGAGATTTTAGATTGCCTGCCCTTACAGTTTTTTTATTCATGTCTTTGCCTAGCAGTGCCTCATAGCAACTTGATGTTGGCGTCTGTCTCCCGAGATGCCTCATACGGTAGCAATATCCAGCATCCCCTTAAGACATGTTTCACAGGTGGGCTTTTAGATCATTGCAAGTGGCAGTCGAATCTGCGGCTGCATTTTTAATCACGTGTTGTGACACATTTCAATATCACAGCCCCTGTATGATGTCTCATCACAAGTGTGACATTCCTCTCATTGAATTCTGTTTAATGATGGAGCTGTGATGTGGTGCATTTGAAGGTATTAAAGAAAGACCCGGTGGAACCTGCAGCGCGCGCCCCGCGCCGTGGCTCAGCTGTTGGTGTTTCACATTCAGGCTGCGTTGCACCCCGGTTGCCAGTAGCTGTGGCAGGATGATGCCTGAGGTGCCTCCTTGGAGGACCGTGCCCTCGTTACTCCTCAGCTTGACTTTGGGTTTCACAAAGCGAGCCCTTTGTTTACGCTGACAGGATGCGCTGGCTACTGACCTGGAAAAAGTGGCCAAGACGGCTTGTCTTGTAAGGAAGAGGGAGGCTGGTGATGTATAGGCTCCTTCTGGGACCTTTCATGGAACTGCTGTTGGAGACGCCCCACAATCCGTCTCCCTGCTCGTCCGCTCCTCTTTCTCTTACTCTCACCCTATCTGTCTCTGTTCCCAACGCTAGTCTCCGCTCTCATCCCATCAAGTCAGTGGTGGTTTTGCATGAATCTCCCCATGCCATGTTTTCCCCCACCTAGTCACTGGGGTCATTCATCATTATTGTCAAGGGGGTAATGTGTGTGGGTGGGTGCAGAGATCTATGACTTCTTCATTTGAATGAACCTCATTAGATTGACTCTTCTTTGTGAAGGATCCCTTTAGAAAATAACCCTGGCAGTTATTTAGGTGATTCACACAGGCTAGCCAATGGAACATGACGCTTCAGCCAAGCATGTTTGCGTGAACGATGGAAGAGTCTTTCTGATGCAGTCTGCAGGCTGTGTTTTGCTTTATCATTTTGCCTTGCATTCCTACATTTACATAGCGGTGCGGTGTAGGACCTTGAGCCTGACTTGTGGCATCCACGGGCATCACTATGACGCAATCAATTTTTTCAAACTGACTTAACTGCTTACTTACAACAATGAATGACTCTATTGTACAAGGGCAATCGACTCAGGCCTTTGATTTAGACCGGCATTAAACTACCTGTGCCTTGTTCTCCAAAAAGGTGCCTCCTTTAATAATGAAAGTAAATCTATTTACAGGGCATACGCAGGATTCTCAGTTGACTTATGTCTTTCTCAATATTACCACGGTAGGTTTGTTTAAACTGAGATATAATCCACATTTACCCCAAATGTTATCTCAGCTTTTCCACTGAAGCACACTGAAGATTGGTTTCCTTATTAGAGCAGATTCTTGTCAGGGCATCTTTAATCAGCATGGTCCCAAGGGATGATATTTTTAGCCACCTTTTTTGGAGGCTAAGACTTTACCCACGCAGAGCACTAATGAGATGGAGCACAAGTGTAGGCAAGCGTTAATTAAGGCTAGTCTGCAAAGGAAGAGGCAAAAGCAGCATGCCCATGGCATACATACATTAACTTTATCCCACCTTCCGCATGTGTTTTTTTTTTCCCCTCCTTGTTTTTTTCCACTTTTTTTCTCGTAGGTTGCACAAACAACAGATGGCACTGACGCCGACCTGTGGAAGGACGGCTTATTCAAATCCAAGGTCACTCGCTACCTCTGTTTCTCCAGGAAAACTGTAAGCGTGAATGGAAACTTCTTTCCCAGTACCGTCTCCACTAACCCGTCGTGCAGCTCTTCTTCTTCTTCTTCTTCTTTTTTGCCAGCGGTCGTTAGCTCAGCTCTCCGCAGCCAGAATATCTTCATGCACTTTGCACTTTGATCACTGAAAAGTCCCACTTAAAAAGGACAGCATTAGCCGTGCAGTTTTGAAGTTTTACATATAATGGATTTGCATGCATATTCCAGAGGAATAATACCGTGGAGAGATATTTTTCTTTTTATATGCTCTCCCGAGGAATATTATTTATGTTTATTCATGAAAAAACAATGAGCTGTATTTTAACTATTCCAATTTATTCAATCAACACTGTCCCTGTAGAGAAAAATGTTACCAACCAGTGATTCTTGAAAGCTGATGCACACATAACTTTTGCATATGAATATTCCTTTTGTGTGAAAGAAATTGCGGCATAAAAAGCCCTTTGAGTCTGGTTGGGTCTATATATAGCGGTGCCAATTGAAGCAGCCACGAGTCTTCGGTGGCTGAAATGATCTTTGCATTACATTTCTAATAACGCTGTGGGGTCATTTTTGGAGCCTTTGTCTGCCTGCAGCCTACAGGTGATATGTTTCCACTTGGCTGTCAGCTGCTCTGTGGCCATGAATACACCTGCTTACAGCGCCAGAGTCATCAACCTGTCCAACCTCAGCTCATACAGCTGCTATTGGCTGTCCATTAATTAGGTTTCCCTGGCTTGCAGTCGGACAATGCAGACAGCATTGTAAACAAAACCTGAATTTTTGTTATTACTTTGCATCAACTCAATTTTAGGACTTAATCAAGTCATTTTTTTCCAGTGTGCCCTCTAAAAGCCAGGCAAGTAGGCAGCAGGTGCCTCATGCCTTAGCTCAATTTGGCCCTCAGTTTAGTATATAGCATACAAATAGCCTCTCCCTAGTTCCTGCGTATTATCTTAAAATGTGTGTCCACATTGTTTTAAAAATTTTGACACAAATAAAACATGGCAGAGCCATCAACAAAGGCTATTTTGTCTGCCAGTCAATGGAACTCCTACTGTAATTGTCTATGACAAAAACAGATTCTGTAAAATTAGCCCCTGAATTATTTGGGGGGAGGTAAATAGTTTGTGATTTATCATACTCTAGGTTGAAGGTAGATAGCCCCCTTTTGTCAGGTCGTGATGGGGGAAAAAAATCAAGAAACGGAGAAAAGCAAAAAAAAAAAAAAGAAAAAGGTTTCATGCATAGTAATAACATTCATCCATATTCCTCCTTACGTCAGTATAAAAACTATGAATAAAAAATGCTCCTAATGGTAATGACAGTCAGGCAACAGTAGCAGTGTAATCCAGGCTTTTCGGACGCATCAAGTCATGCCTGGTTCACTCCACTCTCTACTGCCGCTGTGTATTATTGCAATTTATTATGGCAAAAAATGAAAATGTAATGGGAGGCAGGGGAGAGTCATGCTTGAAAATGTCAGCTACACAGTCCCTGATTATTTTTAACTAGTCCCATTCTGTTGATCAGAGTGCTCGCGCTGTCTCCCATCACGCCGCATCTTCTCGCCTAAAGGTTGAAAATTATTACAAGTTCACAGATGCTTCCCTCATTCAAGATTTTTTTTTAAATTGTAAGAGAGTCATTACGGGATTTTTTTCTTTTTTGTCATCCGTTCTCTTTAGAGACTTTCTGAGCTTTTTATATATCATTGACCCTTTTATTATCTACATTTCCTGTGCTGATCCCTCCCTCGCTGAAGGGCTGCTTTTTGATCTATGTGCTTTCACAAGTAGAATTCTACAGACGCACACCCATTATTTTCATATTATACTTCATTTTCTTTGTCTTTCAGGGGCCCGAAGTTGTTGTGGATATGAAGCTGATTGATATTAAGGATGCCTTGCCAGAGTTCTTCACACCTGTGCAAGAAACACTGGACACAAGTAAATAAACAATCAATGCCGAGCACAGCCCCCCTCCTCTTCCAGTTTTTTCACTCTCCGACCAGCTTATGCGGAGGTCCTCAGGGGCAGCTTTGCTTGAGATAGTGAATGTTTTATGGGTGCAGGTTAGCTTAATTTATGGCAGACTGTGGGAATAAAATAAACATTTTGCCCTGGAGGTACAAGGGAAGAGAATCATGAGTCATTGTTTATCTCAGCTGGAGCTGGGCTTTTCTTTATGAGGGGCTTATTTATTTATGTATTTATTTGGGGAGAGGACCAGGAGATGGGGGTTATCTAATATTAATGAAATGCATTCCCCAATGCTTTAGTGCTTTTTGAGTGCTACGTATTTCCCCCCTCGCTATCCATGCCTTGGAAATGTAATAATATTTTGGTGTGGAGAGAGGACAGCTTGTTTATTATTTTTATTATCATTGCATTTACACTGCACTTTGTAGTGTTGCTGGGGAAATAAATGAGCGCGGCACAGATGCAATATAGGAAAGCATGGCAATGTTTTTTTGCCAGAATGAAGAAAAGAGATTATGTTTTGTTTGCCTGTGTTGTAATTTAATGTTTTATCACTTCACGTGAATGCATGTTTAATGTATACATGTGACATTATGTATGAGTTCCTTTCGGGAATATCGAGTTTAAATCCCTGTCGTGCACTACAGCTGATGGAGGATTCACTTGCTTTTGTCATTTTACCTACTGAGATGATAAAAATGATAATAATGTATGTGAATTTTGTGGCTTTCCAGCGCACAGTGATTTCCCATTGAGCACAGCAAGTCATCCAAAACTAGCCCAGATCTTATTGTTTGAGTGGTAATGACTAAATAACTAATATAAGTGGGGTTTGTGAATAAATATATTTGTCTTGGAGATTGAATATGTCTAAAGGCTTATTTTGTCTGAGGCCCAGAGGATCCAGAATTGAATATGCAAGCACTACTTTCTTTTCTGACACATTAATTGTGCTTAATCCAACAGAGGAAACCGTCCTGAGGAAGAAGAGGCTCTGTGTGAAAATGAGCCGTCGTGAGGCTGCCGAGGCAGCTGTGTGTGACATCCAGGTCACCGTGAAGTCCAAGTTCCACCTTGTTAACTACACAAGTGTAGGGTGAGCTGATGAACATTGGAGAAGAATTAAATTGGGATATTTTGTCATTTGTGTGTTCATAGCGTGTTTCAAATGAATATTTACATCTTTGAAAGAAAGATCACTAAGCCATTTTTAATATTTCTTATGCACAGGGATATAAACAATATGGGGCTATGGTTCCGAATGGGAGTTGTTCCAAAGCATCAATCGTCTCCGGAAAGCCCAAGCAGACCTGAACCGGACATCCTTCCCAGCACAAGGTACCCTCAGACCAAAGCTTTCAGCAGCATAAGTTGTTGGTGAACTGTTCCGTTCATTTCACATCACGTAGTGTCCCTGCTGAGCCGTTGCTGTGCATCTCTACCATATGTACGACAATGAAGACAGAAGCAATTGATCATTCCCGGGCAATGTGCTCTAAAGGTTGTGGCTGGACAACGAGGTAGTGAGGGTGAACTGGTGAGAGAGGATAACTAGACAGGAACCCCTGAACAAGAACACAGGTTCAATGAGGGCTAAACTCTTGTTATTTGTGGTAGGTCCCAGGAGGCATAGACGGTTCGCTCTTCTGACTTGGTGACAGCAGTGGTTGTGCGGTGCAGACAAAGGGGAGAAGATGTTGCCCAGAGAGGCAACGACAGCTGCAGAGGAAGGGAGGAGAGCTCTAAGATCTGGAATTTGTGCGTTCCCGTCTCGGCTCGCGCTGCTTCGGCTTCCTCTGCCCCCAGGCCTCAGAGTCAGTGGAGCAAACCTTTGTACTGTGTCCAGATCAAACAGCTTAATTATTTATCACAACCAAGAGCTGGGGATTTCCACAGCAAATAGTAAATAAACAATGGAGACTCCTTTGTGCGGTGGTGCTGCAGAGAGGGAAGTTTGGCACGGGGCTGAGTAGCGTTTGCCAGCTCGAAGTGGAGCGTTCTGCCATCCTGTGCGGGGATGAGCAAAAGCCTCTTAAAAGCCACACTAGGCCAGAGTGGTGGATGCCAGCAGGCATTTTTTCGAACACAGCTTCTTTTCACATGGCCATGCTTTGGTATGGACGCAAGATATGGACAGCTGTGGAGTTAAATGGAACGAAACCATAGTTTTGTGAATTGGAAGTTTTGGTCAATAATCTATGATGTGTTGAGGCTATTATGAGAGCTCAGACCAATGTGCGTCCTCACAACTCTTCCCAGTAATCCTCAGCTCTTTTGAAGCCCACTTTCAAGTTTGTGAGGCTCAGAGGTTGGAATAAATTGCACCTCCAAGCGACTCACACCCCCTCCTGATGCCTGCTGAGATCACAGGCTGCTGTTTTTGTATTAACATTAAAATTCATTCCACACTCCAAGTCTTCTTTTCAGAGTATTTCCATCCGTAAAGGACTGACATACAAGGACAGGACTTTGGGCAATTTATACTGTGGCAGTTCTTCGACTATTTTTATTTTTTTGTGTAGTTACACACACTTCAGACAGACATATTTAAAGGTGTGAATATTTCTGTACTCTTTTTTTATTTTTTAAAGTCACAGATTAGATGGTTTGACAATCTTCAAGTCTCACTGATTTTCTCTAGTAAGTGCAGAACCACAAAGTGTCTGTATGGTAGCACACTGTTGTATTCATATTCAGCAGGAGAAAAATCTTCCCTCCACGCTTCCTTCAGGCTATCTATAACAACTTTATGGCCTTTGGAGAGTAGCACCTCTTAAATTTAAGTGCTCTTTACAGTCACTGGAAAAGATGTTTTAAATACAGTCAATAATGTGTACATTTTTAATGAGCCATATAAATTTAGAAAGCACAGTGACCCCCCCCAAAAAAAAAAAAGTTTAGTTGCGGAGAGAGCCTGACATTGTTGCATACAAATGTAAACTACAAATCAGGTTTCCAGCAGCACAGCAACTGCTGCATGTTGCATCATTAAGGGAAGCTCCATAGAGGCTAAGCCTTCCACTCACGCTGCTTTTGCATTATATCACATCGAAAACCAGATCCTGGAAAGTTTTCTGGTTTCCTCAGTAAATCAGATGTTCAAAAGCCCTTGATTTTTTTCCTTTTTTACTACATGCATTTGTTCTGATTATTAATTGTATACCTATATAATTATTAAAAAACCCAACTTTAATTGTAAGAGTAATGAACTGAATAAGTTCCAGTCAGCACTAATCAAACTCACATTTAGCCACTTCATCCAGGTACTGTTAGTGTTGAAAGAAATGCTGCTGCCATTTTCCTTTTGGTAAATTAGACAATTTTCTACATTCAGCACCTAATTTAAATTACGATTTATAAAAAAGTCATGGAAAGGGGCCTCATTAAAACTGCACGCTTTAATCCAGTTTTGTGTATAGGTGCCAAAGACCGGAATCTGCTCTGAAGTATGAAAATAATTCTGTAGAAAGAAAATATGTAAATAGTTAATTGACTAGCAGGTGACTGAACTGCAGACTGCATTAAGTTCTCATATCATGGGGAGTTTGATTGCAGAACACATTGATACCGAGGTTAGCATTGGTCTTTTACGGTTGTGTGCGTTAGCCCTGTGGTGAGTAACAAGTGTCAGTTTGGCTGGGCTCAACAGGCCAGGACTGGATGGATTAAAACTACCATTTTCTATTCGAGAATACTAAAAACATATGCTGGGGGGGAGACAATAAACCCAACATGGGTGAGTCAAAAATGTTTCTCACAGAAATGAACATGGTTACAAGATTGCATCCAAACAATTCTAGATTTAAATATTTGCTAGTCTTCTAGTCTAATCAGATGGTAAGATCTGTTTACTCAGCAAAAATGCTTATGTTCTTATTTGAATTGTTTTAAGACTTTAAAAGTAAGTAGAGTGACAAGGACAGTGACATCTTCCCCTGCATCTCCCCTCCAGGTCTGAAAAAGATGGCAACAGTTGATGGTGAAGGCTCAGAAAGTAGTAGGGGAATCGTGGTTGCAATATCCAACTTTTATTTCAAATCCATTCTGTGATATTTCAAATGGCAGAGATTCTGAAACACTGTTAAATAATGTTTGGAGGTGGTTAGTCAATAAATGTTAGTCAGAGAATAATGTTTATTATTATTACTACACAACATGCTGTACAGGTATTAACACTTAATGTGGATTTAAGCTGTTCGACATTATAATTCGCCCATAAATGCTTCAAGATAAAGTTCTGTTGAACTGTTTTCTTAGGAAATATATTTACGCCTCCTGTGTTAAATGTCTCTTTATCAAGTTTGTCGACTGCGCTCAGATCTGTGACAGTGTTCAGATTTGAATTATAGCTGCAGCTTGATGTCAACCACTTTAGCTTGTTCTCTGTCAAGACAGACTTTATCAGCCACTCCCTGACTTCATAATGTAAAAAACCTGCACCATCCGGTCAGCCCTTTAATGTATCCTGTAAAGTATCTCCTTCCTTTCTCCTCCTGACCAGCGCTGCCATTTGTTCTGCTGATAAAACTGTCATTGCTGAGGCTGATATCTGACCTCTACTGTGACTGCTGGCATAAATTAGCCTTGTCCTAATATTGCAATTTCTTTCGCTCCTCTCAGAATCAAGGTTTTTGACATTTCTCTTAGAACAATAGGCTGTTGTACACACAGACACTTTTTAAATCAAGCGATGCGGCGATAAAAGTGTCAAGGCCAAGCATATTTTTTTGTGGCTTTTTTCCTTTAAGAAAAAAAAAAACACAAAGTCTAAAGAGTCGTCATTGTCAGAATTGGCATTCATATCAATACATTTTGAATTTCTTTTACCTGTGGCACTCCGCACATTGCTAGAGCTACGCCGGAGTATTGTATCAGCCGTCATCGCACGCTGGTTAACCAAGACTTCCCACTGTACGCGGCTGTTAAGAGAAGGAGACACTGTGACTGTCAGTGTCACATGACAGATCTACTATCTGAAGTGTTGAAGAAGAATCCTTCCAGCTCAATCTCAGTCATTACTTTATGCTCAAAAAAAGTTGCAAAAAGTGGCGGAGATCAAGAAATGGGATGCGTTGCGGTGCCAGGAGTGATTGATTGATCAGCCGAGATCAGATGGGCGCAGACTATACAGTGATTTGCCACAAAAATCAGAAAGATCCTCACTTCAGCACCTGACACTGAGCTTAAAGGAGGATAATGATGGGTGAGAAAGCAGCTCCCACAAAAGCAGCACTGTTGGCACATAGAGGAAGGTGTGGAGATGTTGTCACGGGGAAGGCTTGGATATGTGTCAAAACAAGAGCTTCCCGCTCTCTGTGTAGTAGCTCAGGGTCCTCAGTCAGTGATATTACTCTCATTCTCATCTTACCTCTCCTCTGACTACTGCTTGTCTGTCCCCACAGCCTTTCCCACTTTCTTTTCTTGTGCTTTATTTTCTTTCTTTTGTGCCATTTTTTTTCCTTTTTGCCTGGGACAACTCATTTCTTTATTCCACGTGAAACACCAAAAGACTAACTAAAGAGCAAATCTGTTGAATAGTAATGCGCGTTTTCAAGTACTCCTTTGTGTTGTGCTCTGCTTTGCTACACTAATATGATTTTAACTCGGGCAGTTTTCATGGGAACATAATACTCTTGAACCATGCTTTAATTGCGTAAATCTTTCAGGCCGTGTTCCCAGTTTTACTGTAATTTGATGAGGAACTTCACTATAATTGAATATTCAAATTAGGAATATGTGTCAATATGGCTCTCCTTGCCTGAAATGAGGATTAATTGTTTTCAAAACTCCAGTGGCCGACATAATGTGAGTCCCAACATTGCAGTTGATTAGCAAATGCACTTGCCATGTTTTTGTTTAAGAATTAGCTGTCTAATTGATTTGCCATATGTTGTGCTCTCCAATGCACCTAAAATTGTATTTAGAAATCAGCTATTTGGATTGAGACAGTTTGGTGTTTGTCTAACAGATGGGAAATCAACCCCGGAGGTTGCCTGCGGAAAAGCATTTCTTGAACAGATATCCCGTGTTTCACATCGAGCCGTGAGGATTTCTAGCATCGCTTCCACCTTTTTAGATTCTCAGATGAATAACCAGCCTTGCCACTGCTTTTGCCTGCTCTCTGTGTTTCTTTTCAAACAAGAAAAACAAGATAAACATAAAGAAGAAACCTTCAAAGACATTTTGAATTATTTGCATCCACCCTAGCCACAGAATGTCTTTGTGATTTGAAAGATGCGTACCTTTCTTTCTCAGCAGTGGAATCAACCTTTGCAGGTAAAAGAAGTCCCTGTTGAATATGGCAGTCGTTCCCCCAAGATTGATGCCAACCTTTTAAAAATTCACCATTGGCCTGGATTTAACATGGCCAAATGCTGATGTAAATGAGTAGGAGAAAAGTCGACCCTTTCATTGCAAATAAATCTGAGTTGCAGGCTTCAGCTCATAAATACCACAACCTGTCACAAGTCTCGTTTACTACTGTTGATGGAAATTATTGGGTTTATTTATCTCACCCAAAGAGATAAGGCTTTGAAAGTCGCACCTTACATAAAGCAACTTCAGAATATGCAGATGTGGCTGCGGGTTTAAATTTTGGGACTGTTTCATTTTACATTCCAGTCAAGCAAAGAT